CTTTTTCTTGGTTTTAAGACCACGTTTTTTTTTTTTTTAACATTGAAAGAATATTTGTTCAAGATGTTAATGCGTTTCTTACTTTTCTTTGATTATATATTTATTAGAGGAGCGATGCTCGAAAATAGAAAACTTTGAAATTTCTGTAATTCTGTGATAATTCAAAATATACGTAATTTATATTTAAACTTATATTAACTCATTTTAATTAATATAATTTCATTTGTTAGAAAAAGTGAAATGTGAAAAACAAAGATGAATATTGTTAATATTGATAAATTATGAGGTTTGAAAAATTTCAATTCTTGATAAAATAGTATTTCAAAATTTGAATTTCGAAAATTTAAAAATCCAAAAATTTGAAGCCATCTCTATATACTTCCAAAGGAAAATGGGCATTAATTTTTTTATTCGCGACAAAAACACAGAAAAATTCTTTAAAAACAATTTTTTTTCTCGAACAAATGGTAGAAAGTTTCTCTTCCTCTCGTTTAACTTCAGTGAGGATGCGGCTTTAACAATCCTCTCTCTGTTCGATCGAGGATGACGCGACGATGACGAAAGTCATTAGCCCTCCATCGACTTTCAATTAATCGGGCCGACCGATCACGAGTTTCGATTAACCGATTACCATCGAGAAAGTACAAACGAAGAGCTTAATTGGATGTTCAATCGTTTTTCGCCTGCGATCGAGGACGAAGCCATCCATGATCCATGACTGATGTCCATCGTGTCATTTCGTCGAGAAAAAAAAAATATCGAGCTCGTCTCAAACTCGAGCAATGAAACAAATTCAGTTTTATTATAAAAATATTATAGAATTATTATAGAATTATGAAAATATTAGATCACTTCATACAGTTAATTAAAAAAGTGAAAGTTAATGAGTTTCTGCAAACCACGAAGAAGTAATTTTCCTTTCATAATTAATAATTAAGAATCGTTGACATTTCTTTCAATCTTATTATTTCTTTGGAATAGATGGAAAGGAGAATATCAACAAAGATTTATTTTATTAAACTGTGTATAAAAATGTCGTTGAAATATTCTATTCTGGTAATTGTATTTCTGAATTGGATATAATTGTTAAAACATCATATTCTGATTTGTTTTCAATTTATATTCTGTGTGAATATAACAATGACAAATGATTGATGTGTACATTAATCTCTCATCATATAAGAAAGGGTTTCCAATGTAAAATTAGAAAACGTCGCGTAATTTTAAAAGTTATTTAAATTTTATTATACTCTCGATAATTGATGAATATTTTTATCTTTCTGATTCTTCTAAATGAAGATTCTGAACGAAATTAAATTTCTAATTATCCAGCGTCGCACGATTGAATTGTAAGACAAGGGATTAACTAATTTCAATTATACTCTGTGTGACTCAAATAGATCAAGATTATTTCCTCTTTTAATAAAGTGATAACATTTGTTCAAAATAAAAATAGATATATCTCTATTCCTTATTTAATCATTTTAATCAGTGCGTTAACTTGACAATAATAATAATAACAATATAATTAACAGAATAAAATTCTCATTCTTACAAATATAAATACCCCTCTAAAAGAATGTCAATCAAATTAAAAATCAATGTTGATTAAACTCACTACTTTTCTTTATCGTTGCGATAAACAGAACA